GGCCCGGAAAGAGTATTATAGGGTTTAGTTAGGGGAAAGAGTACAGGGTTTATAGGGTTTAGGGATAGCTGGATACCCCGAGCTGCGAACTAAGGAAACACAGGGTACTAGAGCCAGGGTAGTTGAGTGCACTATTGGCAAACCCTCAGGGGAACCTCCCTTTGGGGTTGGAAACGAGGCTGCAATGTCTATCTCGGCGAATCCAACATGATGAGCACAGAAATTCCCATACCCAGGAAGAGCGACCATTCCTCAAGTTCTAGTGAGCTTCCCTTGGTGAGGGCCCTGAACCCTAAACCCTAAACCCCTAAACCCCTAAACCCTAAACCCTAAACCCCTAAACCCCGGAACCCCTAAACCCTAAACCCCTAAACCCCTGAACCCCTGAACCCTAAACCCCTGAACCCCTAAACCCCTAAACCCTAAACCCTGAACCCGGATTTCGGAACTTCTGGACCCTGCTGGGAGGTCTCCCCGGGCTGTGGCTGGGCGGACCATTCCCCGGTCTTCGCAGAGATCGAGCTCCCCGGCGAGAAGCAAAAGCGGTAGCTGAAACCATTCTGCATTAAACCCTATATAAACCCTAAAGGCTAAAGGTTTAGGGTTTAGGGTTCAGGGTTTAGGGTGCTGAAACCCTTCTGCCCTAAACCCTTAACCCTAAAGGTTGTCGCCGCCTTGTCCTAAACTCGGGCTGGAAGGTTGGAGCAAATTGTACCCACATATTTCAGGGTCCCCTGGCCTGATTTCCTTCCGGAGGTCCTAGAACAGGTCCGCGTTTTGGGCGAGCCTGAATGAGTTTGATATATGTTTCTATAGTTCAAGTTACATGCATATTAATATTCATATATTGTTTATGCACGCATATGCGATTTAGCAACAGTTTACTGTAATGTAATGTATTGTAATGTAATGTAATGTAATGTAATGTAATGTAATGTAATGTAATGTAATATAATGTAATGTAATGTAATGTAGTGTNNTAATGTACTGTACTGTACTGTAATGTAATGTAATGTAATGTAATGTAATGTAATGTAATGTTATGTAATGTAATGTAATGTGATGTGATGCAACGTACTGTGCTGTAGCGTACTATAATGTAGTCTTAATGTAGCTAGTGTAATGAACTACTGCCCTGGAACGTAATGCCAAGTCAAGTAACGTCATGTAATGTTGTATAATGCAAGATTTGCATTTTATACATATAGTTTATGTAGTGTAAGTTACGTACGCAGGCACGCATGCATTCATGCATGTGTGTTAGTAAAGTATGTCTGTATGCATGTACATGCGTACGCATGTATGTATGCATGTATGCACTTGCTAGAGTTCTACGGCCCATACTCCAGGTCTTGCAATGCACCCTAAACCCTAAACCCTAAACCCTGAACCCTATAAACCCATAAACCCTAAACCCTAGACCCTAAACCCTAAACCCTAAACCCTGAACCCTATAAGCCCATAAACCCTAGACCCTAAACCCTAAACCCTAAACCCTGGATTTTTTGCGGCTGCAGGCTGTCCACCACTGCTTGAGCTCCTTTGCTGCTGCGCGCCGGGATATGGAAGGGGGGGAGTCAGGGCCATGAGGGCTTCGGGCTTTGAGAGTTGAAGTTTAGGGCTCAGGGTTTAGGGTTTAGGGTTTAGGGTTTAGGGTTTAGTTTGAGAGTTTCAAGGGTGAGTTTGGGATTTCATTGAAGACGGCATGCTTCAGAGAGTGGGATCAGGGTGAAAAGTTTTGAGCTTTTGAGTTTGTGAACATGGCCGCGTGTTCGGGTTCAGGCAGTTCAGGTTCAGACACATTTGTTTTTGTTCGGGTTCACAGAATGAGTGCTGTAAGCCTATGTAAGCCTTGCCTTAGGCCCGCAAAGTACGTAAAATACTGGCCCAATACCCAGGGAAGGCTATTATTCTACATACTTTTGGGGTCCAGGTGAACCATATAAGTGCTTCAGGACACAGTGTAGCATGCGCTCGCGGCATCGAAATCGGAAGCTGCCATCGTTCAGACTTGGGAGCCCTAAATTCGGGTTGTCGGTACACAGTACAGGGGGGTTTGGGGATTGAGGGTTTATGTTTAGGGGTTCTGTTCGTAGTTGCATAGTGTTGAAAAATCTGGGGCATCTATTTACAAGTCGTCACGACGAGCAGCCCCCCAAATCCTAAATTTGCCAAACCCTAAACCCTATCCAGGATCCTATAACCCCAAAAACCTAAGCCCTAAAACAAGGGTCCTTCATCTGCTGAAGCTCCCCATGGAACCTTTGTCCTTACATCCCGTACCTCAGAACGTCCCAAGCCGCGCAAGTGCAAACCCGTAAGATACTATTGTAATGGCCCAAGAGCACCCTATCTTGAGCCGTATTAATAGGTATCGGGACACCGAATAGTGCGTTATGATCCGCAGACAAAACAGTAGATTGGTGGATCCCAGGTAAGACGTTGATTGGCAGGTTCTTTGGGGTAGACGGTGGACGGGAGGGGGAGGAGGAGATGAGAGGGAAGGTGGGAACCTCAACCCCCCCCCCCCCTATAAACCCTAAGCTCCCCAAGCCCTTAACCTTCGCGAACGGCCCTAATCCCGAAGCTCTGATTAGGGGGAGGGGCCCGGAAGAAGCGAGGGTTCCTTGCTCTAGGACATGTTCAGGTGGGTATTTTCCGTTATAGGAGCATTATATCAGGTCTATATACCTTATGGAAGCCTCATAGAAGCCCTATACACCCTAATATCCCCACCTGGAGTTTCCTTTAACTTTGCGGCTCGTGGGTCAGGTTGGAAAAGCAGAGCTTCGCAGCTTTTGAACTGCACCTTCGGGTTTCACTGCCCTCCCTGGCCTGCTGGCGACTGTCGTTCTTAACAGCTATAGGGTTGAAGGTTCAAGAGTATCTTTAATTAGGGTTCTCCAGAAGGCTGAAGGATTCTGTAGATTTAGGGGTTTAAAGGGTTTAGGGGTTTATGGGTGGGTTTAAAGGGCTTAGGGGTTTATGGGTGGAGGGTTTAGGGTTTATAGGACTTCTATGTGGTGTATTTTAGGCTGCAACAGACTTCTGTGTGCGATCTATTTTGGGCTGCAACAGCCCATGATTTAGGGCATAGGATCTTTGGCTTGCGCTTGAGAGGCTTTTGGCTTAGGGTTGAAGGGCTTTTAGTCTAGCTCGGGCATAGGGTTTTTAGGGTGTGAAGGTTTTGGGGTTTAGGGGTTTAAAGGTTTAGTGGTTTAGGCTTAATTTAGGGGTTTTGGGTTTAGGGCCTATATAGGGACGGATGGCGGATCCTCGGGCGTAGGCTCAACGGTTTCAGCGGTCTGGGTCAAGGGGATTCGGGATTTAGAGGCTTCTGCCGCGGGCTTTAGAGCTGCCGCTGAAGTACTGGGCATCGTGCGAACCTGTTGCATCAGATTGAAGATCTCCAGTTTAAGTCCTCACCGCACGGATACAAGTAGCATATTTGTAACTGTACATACCTATGTACTGATAAAGTAATTGTAGCTACAAGGTCCCAGTTTGGGGGCCCAGGATACTACTCTACCGCTTGTGGCTTAAACTCAGGTGTCTGAGTAGTGCTTGAATTGTGTGTCCTAGGAGGAACGAAGAACAAGCCTCGCACGCACAAGAACCACGTCCCCGAACCTACACTCCCGAATCCAAAACCATAGGAACGGAGCTCTGATGAGCCATGCACGACACTGAAAGGGCCACATAGCCGCCACGGGTTTCGCAACAAGCGTTTCTAGCCGTGGAGGTACTCAACATCACAACAGGCTGTGCCCGACCTATAGGGGTCACAGCCTGGGGACTTGTTTGGCTTGGGGCTCTTCGTTTAGGATTTAGGGTTTAGGGTTTAGGGTGGTTTGGGAAAGTCGAGTAAGTCTTGAAGGCGGCAAGCCTGTCAGCGCGGGCCTGTTAGTAGATGCACGGGTGAAAACAGCCCGCAACTCCATCAGCTAGTTTGGGACTGTCAGCAGATTCACATGCTATACAGGACAGCTTAATCCTTCGAGGCAGTTTTAGGGCTTTGGGATCGAATATAAACCCTAAACCCTAAACTTAAACCCTAAACCCTGATTATGTAGTCTTGTGATTCCGTTTGAAACTGCTCTGCACGCCATAGCCGAGCGACACGAGGTTCGCTTAGCTCCGCTCTGCGGTACAGGCACTCCCCATCTCCAGGACGCACATGGCGCCCAGAAGGGGCTGAGCAAAAGCTTCAGCTGACCAGCTTGAAAAAAATCTGAGCTCTCAAGGTTCTTAAAGCCGGGTTTAGGGTTTAGGGTTTAGGAAGCCTAAACCCCACAGCGTAAGGCCTAAACCCCATTACTAGGGCTTCTTCGCAGGTAGCTGCCCTGCAGTTGCCATGAGCCTACAGCCTCGCATCATCGCAGTAGTTGAGTTTAACACCTTGAACTTTTGGGGTTCACACAACCTTGCGTAAGACTGAAAGTTTAAGCTTCTGTGCCAGGTTCAGTCATCTACGTGAAAAGGCTCCGGTGTGGAGTTATGTTGCGGATAGATGGTGTCTGCCATGAAGTCAGGCTCGTGCCAGACACTAGCCCAAAACCTTCTGACACTCTGTAGAAACCCTGAGCACTAAACGCTATTCATCAGACAAGTCAGAAGAACAAGCACCTTAAAATGCAAACGACTAAGTCCTCGGACAAGTTCCTGAAGCGTCGGCCAAGACCCCCTGATCTATAAACTCCTCTCTCTCCCTCGATGAAGAATCACGGCCCTTGAAGAAAGGGTGTGTATGAATCACAGGGCTGCATATGGGATTAGGGTTTAGAGTTCCGCTCACGAGGATATGTTTTCAATAGCCCCGTAGTTGATGGGTCTTCGTGGTTTGTACCTGTACCTGTTACTTGAGGCATCCACAGTATTGCGTTTTACGGATTGGCACTTCATGTTTATGAGATCGCAACCTGCTATTCTGGAGGATTTGGGGGCCGGGGGGGGGGCCAGTAGATCCTAAGAATTGCACTCGTCAGTCCAAGCTGTGCCAGGCAGGAGCAAGCGCACTTTCTCGAGGCGCTTGAGGCTCTAGACCAGCCGGAGTACGAACAGCTTCCCGCAACCAATATGGGTGCTTGGGGGTTTCGGGTTTTGGTTCGGAATTTGGTAAAGGGGCTTGCGGTATAGGGTTTACGTTCGCTGGCTATCAACTTGAGGAATCTTCTTCGTTCGTCCCTGTGTGCTCGGGGCAGGATATGCTCCAAGTCCCTGCCAGGCTTCTAGAGTGAGCCTCTACAGCTTGTTGTCAATATTGTTCCTTCTTTCCCTTTCTTTCTTGTTGAGGAACATTTTTAGGATCGATGATCTAAGTTGCCATGTTAGAGATGCAGTGTGCCTTATAGCCCTAAACCCTAAACCCTATACTTTCCGTACCTGGCGAGCAAAACGAGTCTCTTACCAGGAACCCAGCCTCGGCTCAAGAAGGTCGACTTGTCATTTTCGCGCCTCCAACTTTGCAGAGGGTTTAGGGTTTAGGGTATTAGGGTTTAGGGTTTAGGGTTCAGGGTTTAGGGAGTCCAAACTCTATACCTTAATCCACCAGAACCCACGTTTTCTGCTAGGTTCTTATTGTAAACCCTAACCTGGGACTTATAGGGACCCTACAAAACAAGTAGGTTCTGGTGGATTAAGGTACCTTACATGTTCTTAGTGCGAACACCCTAGGAATCCTCACCGAGACCTGGCTCCATAGCCCCTCAGTGCGACGCCATGGTTTCAGATAACGGTTCTACTCAGGTCCTTCTCTGTGGTATTGGTTCATTATGGGGTTTAGGATTTAGGCCTTTGATTATTGATTCATTATAGGGTTTAGGGTTTAGTAGGAAATCTGTGTAAAGGGACGCTGGCAAGCATTGGCAGACAGCTCAGGTTCGACGACTTCCTGGAAATGGCTTGTTGGCTGCATATGCTGAACGCTAAACCCCAAGCCCTGAACCCCAAACCCATACGCCCCCACGATCCGTACGAATCACTACTTCCCAGACCCAGACCCTGGGAGTATCCCAAAAGTAGGTTCGGCAATGGGGTTCCTAGTAAACCACGTACCCGTAACAAACTAACCTTTCTTAGTATATACATGGGTCCCAAAAAGCAGGGAATCTACTTTCTGGATCCTGCCGCCTAAAGGCCGAGGGGACTTAGTAAGTAGGTTGTAATTAAGTAGAATTATAAGTACCTAAATGGAGTTACCCCAAATATAAACCCACTTATTTCCGACTTACTAAGTCCCCTGGGCCTCCAAGCGCGGGTGTGCTTTAAATCTTAAACCCTAAACTCTGAACCCTAAACCTTTAAACCTTAAACACTAAACCCTAAACCCTAAACCCGACCCTAAACCCTAAACCTGAATTGGCCCGGACAGGTCATTGAGTTTGGCTATGTGACACTCTTCGCATCGGCTTTCCCCCTGGCCGGTGTCATGTCCATCGTCAGTGCCTAGATTCAATTGGTCAGGGTAAGAGCAAGGACTCAGACCCCCGGGTGGATCTAGAAAGTGGATTTTCCGAATTTAGGGCCATTTAGGGGATCTACGTTTTTGGATCCTCCCAGGGGTCTGGGCAGAGGTATTTTGTGCGACTAAAAAGTTGCGAGTAGGTACAGCTAGCCAGAGTTACCCTACTTACAACTCCTAGGCCCTAAACCCTAGAAGCCCTAAACTCTTAGATGAACCCAGAGGTTGCAAGGTACGCTTGACAGCCTCAACACCCCCCCCCCCCCTTACGCTCCCAAGTAGTGGGTATATGTATGGTGGTCCAATACCTTTCCCTGAGAGCCGAATTCCATGTATGGTGGGTTGCTCGGATGTTATGGGTACCATGGAAGGTTTCAGGGGCATGAACGATCAACTGGGCTCCTAGGATTTAGCAGGGTGTGGGGCAGAGGTGGTTGGGGCGTAGGGCTTCAGGGTGCTTTAGCGGTTTTGAGGTTAGGTTTTGGGATTCAGAGTCGAATCAAATGCCCCGAACAGTATGATACCTCCATGGGGTTCTTCTGTGCAGCGCAGAGAGATAATTTCGTTGAGACCACGACGTGCACGTTGCAGATTCACCCGGAGTGACGCGATGCACTTGATCGACTTAAACTCATTCGCTTTCCTCGTTCCTGCGCCGGCCTTTTTCGCCTGCGACCTGAGTTCATCCCAAAATCCCATAAACTTTAGCTCTCCTGGACATTTTGCCGTGTATCTTTTCTTTATGTGTGTGTGTGTGCTTCGCTAAAGTTCACACTATGTTTACTCCTGGGGCTGCTACTTGGGCCCTACGCCACAAGCCCTATATTAGCCTATGTTTGGGGACACGCCCAGGCAACCTCATCGAGATGAAGTCAGACATGTTCAAGCTGGCCCTGGTCTACCAAAGGCATTTGATAGGGGTTAGTAGGGCTTTTTTCTAGCCAATACCCTAGGGCTCCAAGTATACAAATAGAACCTACTTTGGGGTCTAAAGTCTGTAAATAGTACCCACTTTGGGCTATTTGGAGCCCCAGGGGTAGGGTTTGAGGTTTTGGTAGCAGATCTTGCGAGCCACAGTCAATGCTAGGAGGGTTATGGGGTTACGAGGCCATCTTCAGCCGGGGCATAGGATTCTGTTTGGAGGTTCACATGATGGCCCCTCCTTGTCAAGGAATCATATCCATCGGGGTGGAAAGAGAGCGCGGTTCATGTAGTGCCTGGAACATGCTCTGATATAAAGTTTCGACATGTGATCAATCAAGATTCGAGAATATATCAACAGGGAGCCCCGTCCCGCAGCTAGAAAGCTGTCAGAAGTAGTTTAGTGCCTACGACTCTAGCTTTGAGTTTAGGGTCAGAAAAAATAGAGTTTCGAGCATACGGTTCAGTGCGGGGTCCAGGATTCTCGTGAATGCCCTGCCTAAAGCTGTACCGGAGGCCTATGCCGCACCGAGCCTCCAACATTGGCATCTGGAGAACGCTTCTCCACATCATCGTGGCATTCTCCGTAGCGACAAACGCACCAGGGATGCAAGTAAACCCCGAGATCCTAACCCCAAACCCTACCTCGACCTGGACCCCAGAAGTACGTAGAACAGCCCTTCATCGGTGCCGGGCAATTATGTTAATTACCTGTTTCGGTGTTTCGGGTAAACTGTCAAATCCGAAGCTCGAAACCCTAAGGCCATAGACCAACTCAGAGCCTCTGTCCGACACTTGCCAGAGCTCTTGCTGAAAACCTCAAAGTGCTAAAGCTGCCCTTGTGTTTGGTCAATCCCTAAGCCCAGCAGTTTAGGGTTTGGGGCCCCGGAGCCCTAAACACACCAGTCTCTCGCCAGTCTTTCCCCATGATCGCTCCTCACGACATCTAGTCTAGTCTCGGATGTACGACCTGTAGTGCGCAAGATGGCAGCAGTGGATTCTGATTTTTTTTGGAACCGTATCAATTACAATAGGGTTTGGCGGGTATGTGTTTCTAGCCTTCGGAATGTAGGAAGGAACTTCAAGAAATTACCAATGCCCCACAATCAGCTTTCCGCCTCTTCGGGAATTTGCCTCCGAAAGAGGAGGAACGTTTTGGGAGCGTGTTAAGGGTTTAGGGTTTTAGGGTTGAGGGTTTGGGTCGAAATTGCAGGGATTTCATCGTTTTCACGGTTTAAGGTTTACAGGGTTCAGGGCTTAGGGTTAAGGGTCTATGGGCTTTACACGTTCCCAAATCGTTCTGTCTTACAGGACCTGGTACATAGCCCCAAGCGTTATTGCGACAGATTGTATTCCAGCACACCTAGAGCTTCATGCATGTGCAGCGAGTTTGCAACAAGTAGCGGAGTCAGTAGAGATTCTGAGAGAGTGCATCACAGAATCTTATCAGTTCAGATTTTGGTTTTGGATGGCCGTTTCGGCATCAATCCCAAGTTCGTGGTCATAAGACCTGACGAGCATCACCAGCCTCAATGCCTGCATGCTCCCTTGCCCCATGTGCAGCCCCCTCCGTCCGAATTGCACGTGCAAAAACCTGGACCCCAGACATCATCGGATAATCAAGGCACAAAAGCACCCTTGTGGTTGCAAGAAACAGTTGGCTCCAGCAGCATTGCTGCAAACTCTCGTCCCCCGGTACCGAACCTGAACCCCCAAAGCCTCAGCCCTCGACTCTGTGAGCTGTACCTTACACCCACCCAAACCGAGCTTTCTGTAGGTTCTTATTATACACCCTGATACGGAGTTCATAGGGACCAGAACTAACAAGTAGGTTCTGGTAGGTTAAGGTATCTATTTCGAACCCCTAAATCCGAGGTCATGATCTTCACCATGAGCGAGCAGTTCGCATCTTGGGCACCGGGACTCTACCGCGAAGCGAGCATCCACGACGTGCATGGTGGACCATGGGAGAGAATGCTGGGGAAAGGGTGGGAGCGCACAGCAGATGTTATAGGGTTTAGGGTTTCGTGTTTATTAAGGTTGTTTTATAACAGCGGTATCAGCTTTGTGCCGAGGGGTACCGAGAAGGAAGTGTGTTCTGGATTCTGGAGAAGGTAGACACTTGTTGGGCATTGGAAGTAGCGACGCCGAAGTCGCTGAGAATCATGACGGATGCAGAACTACAAGTCATTAGTTAGTACAGAAGCAATGGCTGGTAAGAAGTAAATGATAGTAGCAGCGAGTGATGATGAGGCCGGACTGCCAGTCTAGCAGTGCCAGCAGCACAGATGGCAATCACAGAATGAACACGGACAGCACTAAAGAAACTATCTACTTCGCAAAGAGCAGCACATGCTTCAGACGAAAGCCGGAAGGCCCTAAACCCTAAACCCTGAACCCTGAACCCTGAACCCTAAACCCTGAACGTTTAGAGAGGACTCCTGGCCCAAGCCACCGACGCGACCACCGGAACTGCCGACCTGGCTTTTCGTCGGAAAGGCAGTCCCAGACCCCCGGAAGGATCTAGAAAGTAGAACCCCTAATTTGGGACCCTAAGTACTAAAGGGTTCTGTATAGGAACACTCTTCAGGGATCTACTTCCTAGATCCTCCCGGGTGTCTGGGGTGAAGATCCCGGAAGTTCGCCGCGATAGATCCAAAGTACTATACTGCATTGATGAGATCCACAAACCTAATGCAGGGGCCTAAATGAGTACCAATACCGCTGTTGGGGGTTCCTTGTTATAGTTATGGTATAATGGGCCCCGGAACCCTATTCTAATTATTAAGGCCCCTATATTATCGTGTCAAGGGTTCCGCCAGATAATTGGGTCAAAAACTACACTTTGTAGGGTTTGGGGCTACTGGTCAGTGTTGCAGAAGGGTTGCACAAGGGTTGTGACACGGTTTTATGGCTTTTTCCGGTGCTGGAGGACGTTAAAGGCACACGGACATTTTTGTGCAGGTGAGGATTTGGAGAGTGACCTTACCTTGTCTAGGCCTGAACCCAAGAAGTTTTTCGCTGCACCGCCGCCCAGGTCATGCGTCAAGGCCCGGATGATGAGTTGGGGAGTGTCGAATACTCGCGTTCGACATAGTAAGCCTGAGGGGTCCATGTGCCCATACAGTATATACTTGGGCCCTAAACTACCTATGAATGGAGCACTTTGAGGCCAAAGTATATGCTATGTGGGTACATGGGCTCTTGGGGTAATTAAAGGTTACCCTCGCGGAATCCTGAGGGAATCGAAACGGACGCAAGCTTCAAAGTCTAGCCATCTTCAACATGGAGCCCTAAAGCCTTTAGGGTTTAGAAATCTAAGGTTCGGGGCTTAACTTTTCACATGGAACCCTAAACTCGAAAATGTTCAATCCCAAACTCTACAAACCCAGACAACAAGCCTAAAAGCTTAAACCGTAGTCTTCGCCGGTGGCGGGAGTGCTTGGGCCGGGTGGCAGCCAAGGCTCCTTGGTATTCAAACCTTTTGCATGCAACTGTAAGGATTTAGATTAGAGACCCTAGCTGGCATCCGATGGCTAAGAGTCCCATTAGAATGATGTGTAAGGGTCCTTGACTGAATTCAGGAAACTTCAGGAGATCTGGGGGTGTCTGCGAAGGGCACAGCCCGAAACCATTGAGCGCCCACATTGCCATCCGATGCATCGACAGGCTCGGGACGCTACGTGATCTTTTTCGCAACAGGCTCGGTGTTGCACCGTAGCAGATCCCGACTCTGCGGTTGTGCTTTGTGAAGGGTGGAGGGGGGGGGGAAAGGTGAGCACTTTTTGTCACTTTAGTTCGACTTCCAGGCTGCAGATGTAGCCTTGAGGGTCGGGGCTCCACCCTGGGGATTGCAACCGCGCTTTCTTCTCTCTTCTGATTCTTTGTGAGCTGCAAGGAAACCCTACACCCTAAAGCGACATGCTCATAGATCGGGCCTTACTGAATAGCATCCGTTCCGTGAAGTCGCGAGCTTTCGGAATAGTGAGGGCATTTGGTTCTGGACTGCTTGCTTATTTGGGCTTATGAGGCATATGCTTTCGGATTTATATCGTTGACATTTGTCAATGCGAGTCACAATGGATTCCAGCTTCGGCGATCCGCTCTAGCGTGCCAGCTCCTTTGAACCTTCTCCGGAGGGTCCACATTTTGGTTCCATTGTGGTCCTCCCCATAAGCCCTAGAGGCTAAACCCTAGCCCCTAAACCCTCAGCCCTGAACCATATCCTATGTGTAGGACCTCGGGATGCCCATCCTAGGAGCACCCACACCCCCCTATGGATTTCCAACTCATCCACCACCATCATCATCAGCACCAGCATCAGCATCAACATGTGTGTATGCGTATATATATATATATATATACATACATACGCATACTCTATGCATATTAAAAATAATAATGTTACTTACCGTCATTTTCACCATCACCACCATCATCGCCGGCATCATCATCATCAGCATCTTCATCACCATCAGCAGCATAATCATCATTGTCATCATCGGCATCGTATTCGCCATCATCCCCATTATAGTCAATACCAGTAGCTTGAGTGTTCGCTTCGAATCGACATTTTATCGGGGTGTGGTATATCCGAGGTACGTTAAAGATGCGTATTTTCCACAAAAAAAATGCATACAGATATGATTCAGGTTCGTGCTCTTTTGTGTTTTTGATGTTCCATTGGCGTTTGGGGAATCAGGAATATGTTATTAGCCTCGAAAATATGATTTTCCGATGAGAAGGCGCAGGGAGAATTTCCGGCATCATCAGCTCCTTCCTCCATACAGTCTTGAGCCCAGGTTCGAGCACAAAAACACTGGATACGAGGTAGATGAGTTTAGAGCTTCTCGACACTCAACAATCCTCACGTTGGATATGTTAAGTGTGCTCCTTGCAGCAAACCATGCCCGCTCCCGAAATCCACAAAACCCGGGTGTGACACCCTGTGTCACAAGCCCTCAGTCGAGAACTAGAAACCTTAACTTTGCTTGTCATGGCCAACGAGCCTCTCCTTGCTTGCCAGTCTTGGAGCATTTGGTTGGCCTGGCGGTCCTCATCGCAGCTTTGTCCTTGAGTGCTGAGTGCTGTCTGACTTCTGTAGATTCGTCTGCACGAAGCTTTGGATCCTTGGCATCACATGTAGTGGTAAGTCTCCAGACCAGAGCCAAAGCACTTGTGCGACACGTAGAATGTGAGTTCGTTCTCAGGACCTGTGCCCCGTGCTTCAGATCCGTTCTTGTTTTCGTCGTTTCGAACGATACACAAAAAGGTTTAGGGTTTGAATCCTAAGCCCTAAATCATTGCTGCTGCGCATCTCAGGTGATGGCGGCCATTCCTCGCGAACCGGTGCCGGGGGTCAAAACAATGGGTTCGGTTTAGAGTTTACTGTAGGGGCCTATATAATTACCTATACTATTTTGGAGGTTCCTTAGTATAATTGCAGTAAGGTAAATACCCCAAACCCTATTCTAATCATTCAGGCCCCTACATCATGGTGCTTGGGCTAGTGCCTAGCGAAGACTTCGGGACAGAGGGGCAGGAGCATAGGATGACTATTAGGACCATGTTGTTACGCTTTTGGGCGCCCCGTGACATGTATGTCCACACCACGATCCCTAAACCCTAAACCCTAAACCTTAAACCCTAAACCCTAATGCCCCAGGTGTGCGCTTGGGCTTAAGTTTAGGGTTCAGGTCTGAAGGTTTGGGATTCAGGGTTCGGGGTTCTCGGTTCGGAGTCCACGAAACCTCAACTAATATAGGGGCCTTCATGGTTAGAATAGGGTTCGGGGGCCCCTTATAGCTTTAATTATAATAAGGAGCTCCCAAAAATAGTATTGGTAACTGTTTAGGCCCTTACACTACACAATCCAAAAGCCCGAATCTTCGTAAACGGCCCGAGTCCCCTCAACCTTGTGGGCCTACTTAACCGGTCACGTGGATCTTACATGAAAGGTTATCGGTTATCCTAGTTATCCTACCTATAGTCTCCCTGGTCGTTCCTTCTTGAAGATACCTTGGGATCCTAGATGCAGAGTTGGTTAGGACATAAAAGGAACTACAATGCAGACTACGGGCATTTCTATCCGACTGGCTTACTAAGTCCACTGATCCCCTGGATCAATGCTCCTAATATAAGGGCCTAAATAATTACCTACAATATTTTTGGGGCTCCCTGCTATAATTATAGCACAATGAAATTGCCCCAAAACCCTGTTCTAGTTATTAAGACCCCTACATTACCCCCGGAGGAGTGGGTCTACTCTGAAATTCTCCGGACGAAGCGCTTCAAGGCTTTCCGCGCGAAGGACCGGCGCTGTAGCACCAGAAGTCTGATAGTCAGGGCTCTATGATCAGTTGTTGGTTTAGGGTTTAGGGTTTAGAGTTTAGGGTTTAGGGTTTATCGTTGAAGTTCCACTTGGCCGTACAGAACCTTTAAGCCCTTGTGTCAGTGCTCAATGTCCGAACCTGTGGCTTGCGAGGCGGTGCACTGGTGTGGTCGTTTGGGTCGGAGGCTTCCAGAGTCAATGTTTACCAAGGTACCGGGTTTTGACTTGTGACTTGATGCAACACTCAAAAGAGGTGCAAGAGATTCCTCCAGCCACAGAACCCTATAAACCACGAACGTGAATCCCTGTGCTGTTGACCCTATAGACTTAGGGTAGGGCGTGGTGTAATGGCTTAGGATGTTAGTTCAGCGTCGTATCCTGAAGCCTTGATGATGTATGGTGGCTTTCAGCTCTCTTCTTCTGTAGACTTGAGATTGACATTCTTGCGGGGGGTGTTGAGCGTTTCAGGGTGTTGGGGAGTTCGAGGGGCTTTCGTGCAGTCTTGAACAATTCGTTGCTGCCGCTGCAGTCGAACACCCTCTGTCATATCCTACAGGAGCCCGATCTCGCGGGTTTCTGCGTCATGGCCACATTCAGGTTCATAGCGGGTTTTCCGATAGAGTATCCCCCAGCCACCTAGGGTTTAGGGTTTAGGGTTTAGGGTTTAGGGCTTAGGGTTTAGGGTTTAGGGTTTAGGGTTTAGTCCAAATATGGTACCTGGGCTCCGAAGGCCAGCACAAGGAACCCTTGGAGGAAGCCTTGTTCAAGGAAGGTCAAGGGTTTAGGGTTCCCAGAGAGCCCAATACCCCTTAATGAAGGAACATACCTTAAATCATAATATTAAGGCCCCTATAACTTAAGGTATATTCCTTAATTAAGGGGTATTGGGCTCTCTGGGTTAATGACACACTTAATGAAGGAATATACTTTAAATCATAATATTAAGGCCCCTATAACTTAAGGTATATTCCTCAATTAAGGGGTATTGGGTTAGTGACACACAAAGTACGAGACTGGAGCCTGACCTCTGAACCACATGGCTCAGCATTCAATTTCCAAGTGTGCCGCCCTTGCTGTCCCCTAAACCCTGACTCCTGAACCCCAACCCCCCAAACCACTAAGCCCTAAACCCCTAAACCCCTAAACCCTAAACCCCTGAACCCGAAACCCGAACGCCTGTACCCCTAAGCCCTAAGCCCCAGAACACTGAACCCCTGAACCCGAGACCCGTTTTCTAGAGGAGGCTGCCTTTGGATGGTTGAGCGAGCAGAAGCCAGCTGGAGATCGTGGATGACTGAATCGAAGACATCTTTCCGGGCTGGACCTCCGGTTGAACGAAGGTTTGATCTTGAGTTGTTGGATTCGTTTTTTGGGGGTTTAGGGTTTGAGGTTTGGGGAGGAATTCTGAATCAGAGAAATCCGAAATTGAAGTTGGAGCTCAGAGACTGTCGGGGATTGGGTTTGTAATTTTGGAGTACAACACCCTATACACTCGAAATTATGGACTGGTTCTGGGTTCATAACTCGGCTTCAGAGCATCAGTTGCTGCCGAGGCTCAGAATCTCTAGGTCTAGCTTGCTTGAGCCCTACTCCCTTACAAACCCTATAGCCCTATAAAGCCTACAGCCTCAAGCCCGTATAAGCCTATAAATCACCCCAAAGCCTCAAAGCCCAACGGTCTAAACCAAGCCCTAAACCGTAAACCCCAAAGCCTGAAGCACCAAACCTGTCCAAAGACAAAACTGCAGGACGGAGAATTGAGGTCCAGGACATGGAGCAGCAACACGGACGACGAGGTCGTGTGGACGCACGCGCCGCGCAAGGCTGCAGGACGGCTGCTGCTGCTGCTGCTGCCGCGCCGACCATGGAATGCGGTGTGCAGAAAGAAGTGGTTGTTTAGGGAGCTTTTGTTTCAGCCGTTCCTCAAAAGCTTTTGAATACTCTCTTTATTATAGTGCTGGAGCCTCGAATCAGGGGTCCCAGATCGGGTGAGGTCCTGCTAACACATATTATATCCTTTCGCGAGGGGTTTGGGAAAAGATGGACATGTCCATCAATGATTACTTTGCCATAATATCATATGTTCAAGCGGCTGTACTTGATTTGAGCGAAACGATTCAGTAAGCTTCCTTTGGCCATGAACTGCAGCTTCGGTAGGGGCTCTAATTACCCTAGTGTTTGAGCAAAAAGTCTCGGTTAAACCCTTGAGTAGCGGCTTGAATATTCAGTCATGGTAACCTTCAAGTCCGATCCTGTTGTAGGTTGTAGTGTACTATGATCTACCCGAAACTCCTGCTCTAATATTGAAGGCCCACTACATCTCAAAGGGAAACCATGAGGGTTTGTATAGCTCGTGGGTTGCCAAGGCTATGATGACGCCAGTAATGCCGTTGCCACAGGCCCTCCCTTCACCGACTGCCGTGAGTGTGTGTAGTTTTTGCGTTTTGGCGTTAGGTGGTTTCGCTGTTTAAAGGGTTTTGTTTTTTCTGGTCTTGGCTTTGAGGGTTTCGGGTTTAAGGAGGGTTACCGGGTTTGGCTGCTTATTGCAAGGTTTGCTGAGCATGTTGTCCCGAGTCATGTTTCGACCTTGCTCATTTTCGCATTATCTCCAAGCTTCAAGCAGCTTCAGCTCCTCAAGCACAACTGATTATTCAGCGGCGTATCATTTTACGGAGTCTCACGATTGGTCTTAACGTCTTGCTCTTTCACATTCATCTAGCACATCTTCTGACCTGAAATGACAGAGTGCGGCTTTGGTTGGGTTCGGGGTTTTTGGTCCTCAAGCATCAGGTGCCGACCTGCATTGCTATTCTCCTAGATTCTAGATCCACATACGGCACTTTGGACGCAGTGGCATTGGCTTTAGCACTGCGCGTTCTCACCCATGTTGTTGTGAATAGCCTCTGCTGCCAGGACCGGTACTGTAGTAGTGGAGTAGTGTTGGCAGTAACACTTAGTTGTAGCAAGTAGGAGAAGCCCAACAGAAAGCCTTCTGCCCATATCCTGAAATCCCCAACATCCTAGAATTCGAACACGAAGCCTTTCGACCCTACTACTGAAAAATGCCGACAAATTTCACCACGGCTGCTTATCTTAGCTCACAAGCAAATCTAGAATAGCCCAAGACCCCACAGCCGCAAAGTTCTCCATCAACAAACAGCCCACCCTAAACAACAGACAAAGCAATTGAGAAGCCCCGAAAAGCACAGCGCAAAGTGAACACCAAAAAACCCGAACTCAACTCTCGAAGCAGGCGGCTCCTGGCGAGGCCATTGCTAGGTTTGCTTTCGGCCGTGGTTGCTTGTTTTTGGTTCCTTGTGCTTAGGGCTTGCCGGTGGATCCATCGAGTGTATGTTTTTCGAGGGCTTTCTTCGTGGTCGTGGGCTGTAAACCTAACCAGTGTTTTACAGCTACAAAGTAAGTCTCAAAAGCTGTTTGAGGCTCGGATGTTGCAGGCCTATAGTCCCGAAACGTTTCAGCCCCACACCTTAAACCTGGCCCATTACCCATGCCCTACACCCACCCATAGGCCCTCAAGTAGTTCCTTTTTGGGGTTCATATATAGAATCCTATAAGGTAACCCCATAAAGGAACTACTGAAGGGCCTATAGGAAAGCCCCTTGACCGGCAAGGTGCAGCTCCAGGACTGTGCCGACCTGGACGAGACAGACGACACGCAGCTCGAGGCTTTGAAAGTAGTCCTCCTTCTCAAAGTTACCCTAGGCTTCTTTGGAACCTCAATATTGGGTTTTTTTTGGGTCTAGGGCCCTAACTGCAAGGTCCTTGGAAGCATGGGGTTAGAGTTCTGCTCGAGTTTTTTGGTTTTGGCTTGGATCTGCATCCGAGGACAGAGCTCAGAAGCTCGTGAGCACAAGCTCATACGGCTGATGGACAAAATCCTGCATGACCTTATATACCTAAACTATGTGATTTATGGTACTATGCTATATTTGAGTCATGCAGAATTTTGTCCATCAACAGTACCTCCTATGTTGGGAAACCCGAACTTTTATGACAACTCGCACCAGTGTGGCGGTTCTACGATATGCCTCTTAGACTTGCTATTCTGCCTGTTAACGTTGGCGCACATGCTACTATCTCTAGTGTCTGCAGCAGCAGAACCAGCAGCAGAGAGAGAAGGGTGCAGAGACTGATACTACTGCCTTTGCGTGTCTTCTTGTTGCTTCGGCTACCCTTTCTGCTGATCCTGATCATACTGACCACCTGTGCTCCTGATGATGACAATGATGACGACAGCGACGACGATCATCACTGCCGTCATGGTTCCGTTGTCACGATCCTCATGTTGCCCAGCCCGATCGCCAACATGGCAGTAGTGCTGCTAGTGGTGATGGTGATGATGGTGATGATCATGAGCATGATGACTAGCCATCTCCTCTCAGAGAAAAGAAGCAGTGACCATGAGAGGCACCAGTCTTAGGCTTAGCCTTACCTTGAGAACCCAAAACCCACTTTTTTTGTAGGCTTTTATTATAAACCCTAATATGGGATTTATAGGGACCCTACAAAAAAGTAGGTTTTGGGTTCTTAAGGTACAGCATTCACGGTGGTCTGCCAGGATGCTCGGCTGCGGCGCAAAGAGGATGAGCTCCTGTCGCGGCGCGATCGACTCGGGCTGCTCAGCTTATAATGCTTCGAACTAGTGGGAGTTTCCGAAAATTAGGGTATCCTATTTGGGGGTCCTTATAATAAGGATCCTACTATTTAGGGTACTGTATTAGGGTCCCCTATATTCTGAAACCCCCAAGTAGCGGGATTGCTGTTGTTCCGCTGCTGTTTGTTTGTTGCAGGCACCCATGGTCATCAGCCATCCTCAGTGAATCAGCAAAGCCTTTGGAGCAGGCTCTTAACCGCTCTAGACCCGATATACACCCTTTCGTACGGTATGTATTCTCAATTAAGCTCAGAGCTCACGTTGCATCATTATGAGCATGAGGAATGGCCGTGGAGCGAAATACAGGTGATGAAGTTTGCGGAATCTACAACTTCAAGTGTCAATACCAGCAGGACCAACCAGTGTTTGTTGCCACGGTAGCCTCTCAACACACCTTGTGGCAGTGAGCCTAAACTGAGCCTCATCTCACGCATCTTTTCTGTCAGCCACTTGAAGGGTTAGGGCGCCTTGCATCGTCGGTCATAAATAGGTATTAATGCGGATCTAAGTTGGATAGCCGTTGCGCACGTACTTACAGCCATAATTATGACCTATTTTCGATATCCCTTGATCCCCCACAACCTAAAAGCATTTGTAAGCCGGAAAACACCTGAAAAGACCTGATAAACCCCTATAAAACCCTCCTTCACGCAGTCCATCCCCCCAATCCGTGAACTCTATAAACTTTAATCCCTGAGCCCCAAACCAAAGCCCAGACGCAAATCTCAGGACCCTCAGTCCGGCAGAGGAGGCCCGCCTGGCCGATCTGCGACAGCAGAGGGCCGCGCTGAAGGTGGGAAGTTTCTTTGAGGGAACGAAAAATTCCAAACGTGCAGAAAAGGGATTTTTGGACTGGGTTTGGCGTGTAATTACAGTCAAAGTGGGGTTTGCAGTCAGGGCCTGTCGCTGGGTATTGTTGGATTTGAAAGGACATCTCAGTGCACGACACGATGTCCACAATCATACTTCCAACAGCCTCACGCGATTGTACAGTTGTCACTGTTAACGAATGAGGTCTAACACACCGGGATATCAATATGCACACCGTGTATATCTACGTGTGTATATATTTGTATACACATGTACATCTCTCTATAGATAGACAGACAGACATATATATATATATATGTATATATTCAGAACGGGTGTGTTTGTTTTAGTACAGTGTAGATGTACTGATATAGGGGTGGTAGATGGGTATAGGCAACAAGCATAGCTGAACATACTCACTTGTTGGTTCGAATAATATGTACGTTGTTGACGCAAGTCGTCATTTGTGCACAGTTGTTTATAGGCAGTTGAGCTGTTGATGTGATGTGATTTGTTTTCTACCTGTGTACCTACATGTATGTACAGCCCTTTCAACCTACATGTTTGCACGGGCACATCAATATGTGTGTGTGCGCATGTATCTCTATGTGTGTGTATGTATGTATATATATGTATATATATATATAGAACATACTTGTTCGTGTTCTGTTTTGCTTATAGACTTGCATACTCCTGATTCCATCTGACGGATGAGGATGTTTACTGTACACGTACATACTCTTGTCTTATGGCTAGCTGCATGTATACACCTTTCTGTGTCTACTCAAGATTTAACAATGCACCGGGTG